TTAGATGTATTCATGATTCCCACGGTGCCCCTCTTTTAGCTAAAATAGATATACAATTAAATACCAAATACTTGTTTCTGATTTATAGATCTAATTTTAACATCACATTCCATCATGGAAATAATATAAGTCAGTTTGCGCATCCAGACTCTTCTCTCTTACGAGTCACGTAGCATTTATGTATCTTATATACACTCCAATTACAGTTTCAATCTATGATTATTTTTTTTTGTTGACAACAATTTCAGGAGACGCCACGTTTAAATGGTCGATTGAAGAATTTCTCGAAAACCCAGTGAAATTCATTTGTGACATGGACAACAACGCAGGTTCACTTCAAGAGGAAAAAGAAGATTTCATACTCCATGAAATTCTACCGCATCTAGAAGAATCGTGGGGTAAATGCCCCTCTTCCAATGAGAAAATCTACGAGATCTTATCCAGAATATCTTGCAGCAGAAAGAGCGCCAAAGTCGTGAGGCAAGCTCTTCAGCTGCTTCTTCATTTGATCTGCAAGGACAACTTTGATAGCTGCTACGAGAACGTGCTGGTTGTGGAAGTCGTTATAAGGTCATCTTTTCTCTCGCCCGAAGGACTGTTCAAAACCGACCGACATTCAGAACGAGAACTCAAACTTTATGTATACAGCCGTATTTTGTCCTCGCTAGTGATACAGCAAGTTCGGAAAGGGGATTTGCGTATCGACACCCTGGAGCAAGATCTTAAAAAGCTACAGAAAGAGCTGAAACAGTTTGGCGATCAGCTAAACAACAAAAAGAAGGATGATTTCCGATATTCGATAGAGTTCATCCAGGAGGCAATTCCGTGTCTGTTGAAACCTCAAGATAAGTTGAAAGTGCTGCTAGACGAGTGCCAAGAGTTTTGCTCAAACCAGAAAATCACCAGTGGCGATTTAAAGGTTCTTCAAGGGCTCAAGAAGAATGGCAAGTGGATTGATCTGCACTGTATCTTGATTTATCTTCATGGGAAGGTAAGTCTTTGATTTTTGACTTTGTAATTTTTTTGACTAGTCTAGAGAGCCTTCAACAATTCAAACCAGTGCGAGTGTTTTTGGATAAAAATCTGATCAACGCCCGCATTGGTTTGCCTAAAACCATCTAACGTTGGCGCAAATTCCGTTGCAGTACAAATGCTGTGTTGATGAGTAGACATCGTCGTCACCTTCCCAATTGGCTCCAAACTTCCGATATCCAATTTTCTCGGAATCTTTTAAAAGTTATTAGAATTAAACGAAGAGGCTGCTGTTTCGGGTACTTTCAGAAATTACAGGCCCAGGAACATTCATATCCCTACAATTAAAAGTTAGATGTATTTGGACAAGTTTGCCTTTCAATCAACGCAAAGCCCTTTAGTTTTTTCCTTGGCATCAACTTAAAACTCAGCTGCATCGAGCTGCCCTTTCAGCTACCATTCATTGCTTGTTTCTGACGGAAACAAAAGTAAAGAGGAGCACCAATTAAGTAATGAGCTCATTTACCGACCGATATTTGATTAAATGCATGCTCCTGTCAGGTATACTGTGAGCGTCCTGTTCCACAAATGGAGACTGAGAGACGGGCCATGAAACTTTTCAGACTTCTCGTGGAAACGTATTTAAAGAGAGGTGGTGGAGATGACTGGAGGTTTTGTTTGTTAGCAGCATCGATTTTATCAGATATTGCGATGAACAACGCAACGAAAGGTGGGCCGAGCCTTAAAAATAGAACTTTCCTAAATTTATAAAATCAAGGGCTGTTGAACTGAATTAGAGACAGAAGCTTCCAGTTGAACTCAAGTAGTTCGTACAACAAGAATAGAAAGCATGATCTCAGACATGTCACCCCATGTGTTTTAAAAAAACAAAATGGGTACGTGGTGTATGTTTGGAATAGAAATTAGAACACATTGGTTTCTTTCAGTGTAATTCATTTCACGAGCTTATACAATTTTCTGCTAAAATCATAAGTCAAAAATCATCTTAGCGGTGTCATGAGCCTTTGTGACTTTTCATGTGTATTTCGCTTTTCCTGCTACGATACAGAAATGAGGACGGAAGCAGGTGGATGCTTAGTGAATCTCCTTAAAGATACAAAAGTGCAGAGAAGGCCGGAATGTCGTGCATTTCTTCAGCGGCGATCTTCAGAAGTGCTTCTCTGTCCTGATAAAGAAATAAGGACGTTTTTGGTTCATTGTGTATCCAAAAACCAAAATTTGCAGCACGACCTTCCCGAAGACCTTCACATCAAACACCTGTCCTCCACGTACAGGACACCGACACTGGAAATCAACCAAACAATAGTAAGCCAAAGCTCGGGTTGCTTTGTCAAGCATGGGATGTTCCAAAGAAAGAAAGTGGCCGTGAAAGTCCTGTTTGTCAAGAAGCAGCACCTTCTGGAGGACAGTCCCTCTACCAACGCTAGAGAGAGGCTAATCAGAGAAGCCGATTGCCTGAGAATATTAAACGAGTCTCGACACCCAAACATTACTGTTCTCCTGGGCTACGACACGAAAAATTTGCCGTACCATATTATCACAGCATTTGAAAAATGGGGAAATCTTTTGCAGTTTGTCTGTCGATCCCGCGAAAACAGCCCTCGTCTCCAGCCAGTCCAACTTCTTAGGATGCTCGTAAACATAGCCGACGCTCTGTTGTACTTAGAGAAGTTGGGCTTGGTACACCGCGCTGTCATGGCAGCAAACGTGCTTGTGGGTGACAACTATGTCTGCAAATTGAGTGGCATGCAATCCTTACAGCAGCTTACGAACCAAAGTAAGAGCCCAGAATGTGTGATAAAAATAATTGTTCAGATAACGAAAGTAAAGTCATCAGAACTCCCGTGCAAGCTAATACAAGGAATTTTGGCGCATTTCAATAAAATTCGGAGGCAGATTCTCTTTCTTTGAATACCGTACAAATGATCTAGTAAAAGAGCAGTTCAGCCAAACCCTGAGTGCCAGAGGTTCGTTTTAGCGACGAAGTCCTAGCTTAAGCGGGCTCACCCCTCCTTTAATCAGTTAATCTCAACAGCAATAACCCTTATCCCCCTCCCCCCCAAATCACTGCGACATTGAAGAGTAATCTCCAAACGAGCAGTCAGTCATACTGTTTTTACTTGCAGCTGAAAATCCGGATTCACTGTATAGCTATTGTTCAGTGGATGATGGTCTTCCAGAATTCATCAGCACAACAGCTGAGGAGCTGCCGATGAGATGGCAAGCACCAGAGTGTCTTTTGGAGCACCGTTATTCCACTGCCTCTGATGTGTGGGCCTTTGGGATGCTGATGTACGAGGTGCTCACTTATGGATGTCTCCCTTACAGACACGTCGGGAAGGATGAAGAGGTTTCTCTGTGTGTAAGTTGGGAAAGTGCATTCTAGTGGAGGAATTAATGCACTTCACTGGCACTTTCTGAACATTAGATTAGGCAATTGCAAATTTATGAAATCCATTAGGCTGCGATTGGTTTTCAAGATGGTGTGTTTGTAAATGAATTTCAAGGCACGAGGATCACAGTTATAAGTTTGATGCTCTTAACATTTTGCCAAACATGTTTGCAAGTTAAGTTAACGATAGTAACTGGAGAAATAGGAATCAAAAAACGACGATTCTGAGTTTATAAAATGATCGCTGAGGAGGGGGAACGCTTGTAAGTGCAAGAAGGGAAAGCAAAAGTCTCCAACCCTCGAAGGTCACTGGACGTCGGAGGCATACCTTCCCAAATAATTTGAAAAGGTTACTTTATAAAATAAGATATTGTATTTCCTATAGATACATTTTAATCTAGTTTTGAATTAAAACAACTATTCTATTTATTCTAAAGCTTTTTTCCCCAACCTTCCTGAATCCACCCTTGGAATTAATCGGAAGCTATAATTTTTGCAAAGAGATACAACTAACACTAATGTTTCAATACTTTATAGATTAAGAACCGCAAAGAGTTACTGCTTTTTGAGCAGTGTTTTGAAGAAAAGGAGTATGAGCTGATGATGCAGTGCTGTGAGCTCCAGCGACATAGACGACCCAAATTATTTGATGTCAAAGCAAGGCTTATCGAAATGCATGAAAATGCAGGTACTTGTGCATATTATTTTCGTCTTTTAATGCGTCATACTTTCAGATAGGATAGGTCATATGAGTTCAATTACGATGTAGACCTGTAAAGTATCACTCTACCAACTACTTGGAGATAAATGGATTGCGCCCTTGCTTATGAAGAGAATCTCAAAAGATAAGGGTANTTCTGAACATTAGATTAGGCAATTGCAAATTTATGAAATCCATTAGGCTGCGATTGGTTTTCAAGATGGTGTGTTTGTAAATGAATTTCAAGGCACGAGGATCACAGTTATAAGTTTGATGCTCTTAACATTTTGCCAAACATGTTTGCAAGTTAAGTTAACGATAGTAACTGGAGAAATAGGAATCAAAGAACGACGATTCTGAGTTTATAAAATGATAGCTGAGGAGGGGGAACTCTTGTAAGTGCAAGAAGGGAAAGCAAAAGTCTCCAACCCTCGAAGGTCACCGGACGTCGGAGGCATACCTTCCGAAATAATTTGAAAAGGTTACTTTATAAAATAAGATATTGTTTTTCCTATAGATACATTTTAATCTAGTTTTGAATTAAAACAACTATTCTATATATTCTAGTGCTTTTTCCCCAACCTTCCTGAATCCACCCTTGGAATTAATCGGAAGCTATAATTTTTGCAAAGGGATACAACTAACACTAATGTTTCAATACTTTATAGATTAAGAACCGTAAAGAGGTACTGCGTTTTGAGCAGTGTTTTGAAGAAAAGGAGTATGAGCTGATGATGCAGTGCTGTGAGCTCCAGCGACATAGACGACCCAAATTATTTGATGTCAAAGCAAGGCTTATCGAAATGCATGAAAATGCAGGTACTTGTGCATATTATTTTCCTCTTTTAATGTGTCATACTTTCACATAGGATAGGTCATATGAGTTCAATTACGATGTAGACCTGTAAAATATCACTCTACCAACTACTTGGAGATAAATGGATTGCGCCCTTGCTTATGAAGAGAATCTCAAAAGATAAGGGTAGGTTCAATGTTGTACTTTAAATTTTAAGCTTTAACTGGATTGCTGGAGAGTGCAAACTGTATTAAATCTCATACAATGCCCCAATCGAATTTATGCACGAAAAATCGTCAATCACCCGTGAAGCAAGACCGAAATTGCCACGATGCTTTCAAAGCTAGATTATTAANNNNCAGACCTGACTTACGAACAGCTCCCCTTCCAGTCAATAGAAGACCACCAAGAAACGCCATATGGTAAGACGATTTGATTTCTTCAGTGCCAAGTCGGAAAAGCTATTGTTTATAATAATGCTTAACACTACAAATAAAGTGACTGATTTATAATTAACTGACTGACTGACTGACTGACTGACTGACTGACTGACTGACTAACTGACTGACTAACTGATTAATTGATTGATTTCATAATTTAACGAGGTATGATCAAAATGGAAAAACCCTTTCCTTCTTCTTTTCAGTCACTAGAGATAGAGTGACTGATTGACTGACTGACTGACTGACTGACTGACTAACTGACTGACTGACGGACTGACTGACTGACTGACTGACCGAATGACTGACTGACTGACTGACTGACTGACTGACTGATTGACTGACTGATCCACTAATTGATTGATTGATTTCACAATTCACATGCAATTCGACGAACTATGATCAGTAGTAACACAAACTGGCTATTGATTTTCAGAGATGTGCATCTAAATGCCCTGCAATTACTTGATGGTTGCGTGTAGCCTTAGTTGTGTATGTAGCTTACACTTCTCTATTATTTCAGAACTTAACGATGACCGCCCCTGGCACTTGAGCAAGGAAACGGAGGTAAAATGTCGCCCTATTTTCAAAGCTACTTGTAATTAATTTTTTGGGGACACATTTGTTCTATACGTTTACTCCTCCACACCTGAATAGAAACTTAAGTAGAATTTAATGGGATATAATATATATACTTAAAAATTTCAGGCAAAAATAAAGAAACTGTAGAGTGAGAGAACGCAGACATCCGAAGGTGCACGAACTTTCTTCCCTCCGTATCCCCCTGTAAACCTCCAAGCATGCACTTCGGTTATGAGTCAATAAGAACTCCAAGCCTACACGTGTGGTATCAAGCTAATCGGCGCGGGATAAATTAGACAGTTATTGTAAAAATACCAATCGACTGAGGAGCTTTCCATTCGTACCAATTTGTACTAATGGCAAGGCTACTTCGACGAATGGTGATCATTTACTGATGGTACGATTGGTGAGGGTGTTTTGTCGATTGGTATCTGTTTGTGTATATTGGACATGTGTGGATATAGATAAAGTTTACTGACTGAACATATTTCTTTTTGTATTTTGGACATCGTAGAAAGATTTGGATGGTACATTGTCAAAACGTGATGATTTTCCCAAAAGACAAATGTTTCAGGTTGGTGTGTCTATTATCATGAATCTATCATGTAAAGCTACTTAAAGATCAGAAGGTGTCTGTACTGAGAAAGCTGAGAAGAGAAAAAAAAAAGCTGCGAAAGAACGCCGAGGGACCAAAAGGGAAATAAACTTCTTTTGTAGCTAGTACTATGAAAATGAATCCAAATCAGCAAAGGGAAAGAGTTTGCAGCTACTAGAGCTTATATAGTTGTAATCAGTTATAATAATAACGTGATCTTCAAAGATAATAATTATGTGTGGGCCTTNCCAAATGCTTCAAATAAAGTCTAGATTTGTTTTAGCGAAAAAAAATTTTGGGGTTAGGTGCACTTTAAATTCTACTTAAGTTTCTTTTCATATATCATGAGATAAAGTTTACTCACTGAACATATTTCTTTTTGTATTTTGGACATCGTAGAAAGATTTGGATGGTACATTGTCAAAACGTGATGATTTTCCCAAAAGGCAAATGTTTCAGGTTGGTGTGTCTATTATCATGTATCTATCATTGTAAAGCTACTTAAAGATAAGAAGGTGTCTGTACTGAGAAAGCTGAGAAGAGAAAAAAAAAAAGCTGCGAAAGAACGCCGAGGGACCAAAAGGGAAATAAACTTCCTTTGTAGCTAGCACTATGAAAATGAATCCAAATCAGCAAAGGGAAAGAGTTTGCAGCTACTAGAGCTTATATAGTTGTAATCAGTTATAATAATAATAACGTGATATTCAAAGATGATAATTATGCGGTCTCAAACTGTTTCTGTAAGCGCTCAATAGGCTATTTTCTCACAGAATCAATGTATTGTCATACGCAAACTGTCGAAATCAGGAAATAATTGATCAATTTTTAGTTATGAAGTAGAGTTATTATATGGCTTGAGTTTGTAGCCGATAATTGGATCGGCTAATTCTGGTAATTCTACGAAATTATTCTCCCGTAATGCTCACAGGCCGATAACGGGCTTCCCGGACAGGCAAAGCCTCTCAAACCTCGGCCTTGCCGTAATAGGGCAACGTCCCCGTTTGAGATTTTTCCGTAAAGACCTCACTCTCGGTTAACAAGTAGTTAAAAATGCATGCTGAATAATTATAACTTGCAGTGTTTCAATTTTAGGGCATGCCTGTGCTACGTGAGAATATTGCAAAGGGAGATGTTCAACATCTGAAAAGACTTCTCGCTCTTAAAAATCCAAATCTTGTCCCGATCTGGAAGATGCATAATTTGGATTCGCACAGTCCAACTGTGCAAATTGTAAGTACGATTATAGTTACCCTCAGGTATAATATAGGAACGTTCTGTAACTTCCTTTAACTTCAGTTTGAAATCGAGCTTAAATTATTTCATTGAGCAACTTCTCTAAGGGAAACAGTAACTTTACGGTCTTTGATAATCATCTTAATCGTCCCGACACGAGTGATGAGAGGTCTAAGAAATGAAAAGTAAGTTTTTCTTTTTATCAGATCTCAAAAGAGGCCCCTCTTGGTAACCTGAAGGAATATGTTCTTGACAAGAGATGCCGAATTGGTGACATAGTCACCTTTCTGTCTCAAGTGGCGTCTGCTCTACACTATCTTCATGTGAATCACATCGTACACGGAGACCTCAGCGCTGAACACGTGAGCGTGATAGCGCCAGACAAGGTCAGTACATGACAATGTAATAACGACATGGTAGTGGTAATCATTCACTTGATATTTCATGTCAATAACGGTATATATCAAATCAAACTCTGAGGTCATGACAATAGTAATGACACAAAACACATCACGACAGGTTAGCAGAATTGGTTCGATACTGAAACAGTACACATTTTTTCCGAAATTTTGTTTCGAAATGAGACAAAAAAAATGTCCGAAAATGAAACGTCCGATATTTTAACCTCCAACGTTTTCTGCAAGTAGTGTACTTTTGGAGAAAAACATGCTTGTTAACAGCAGTATTTCCTAAACTCCTCAAAGTTCAACTGTCAATACAATCAGCACGTGTCGGCAGAAAAAGTGAGCTCAACCTTCCCTTTTGTTCTGTCCAGGTCCAGGTTGGTCGTCTGGGTCGCTCTAAGCCTCTTTATATGAGCGCTTATGAAGTAACCAGTACTTCATGCGTGGTAGAATCTGCCATGCTACCTGATGCTACTCGCCGGTGAGTACATTAAAACCCTATGCTTTGCTTAGTATCAAGACTGTTTGATAAGTAGTCTTATATGAAGGATGTCGGTTAATCACAGCGTACAATGTTCACAAGTATTTCGTTCCATTCAAGGCTAACCAGTTCAGCCAGTTACTGTTTGATTTTAACACCAGCCGAGACACTATTTTTGCATATACCGAGGTGTATTGAATATATGTTGTCGTTTGTTCAATTAACTTGCTAGGGGATTTTGAAAACTTTACAAACTGCCGGAGAAATGATATGCCCCTAGCCTGCACTAATAATATAATACACCTTTTCTACAGGAGTGCACCAGAGGTAATCTTAGATGGGCATTACACGCATGCCAGTGATGTTTGGGCATTTGGAATTCTTGCTTGGGAATTGTACACATCGTTCACAACTGGACAAGATGGGCCGCGAGACCTCTCAGTGCCGTTCTTCGATCTTGAAAGACATGAGGTAAATTCTAGGGCTTTACTCAATGCATTCTAAACAATTTTTACGATAGGCAGAGTTTGATGATCATTAGTTACGTCCAAGCCCTCGAAGGCAACGTTTTGATGGCCACTGCTACTCTCAGGACGGGAACGATTAAGAGTGGGTTAGGGAAGTGTATAGGACTAAAGAAAACAGAACCAAGGCGGAAAAGCAATTGCTAAATACCTAAAACGATAAAAATAGTTTAGTTACTTATATATCTAACAGTTAAAAAGGAAAATATCCTCACTTGCCCAAGAGATCTGATCTAGGATGTCGGGATTCTGTGTGTAAAGCCTGCGTACAAGCCAAGTGGCCCACCAGGCCAGCGCTCGGCGTATTTCTACTCCTCCCTTGATAAGATGCTAGTCCATCGCAGGGTTACACCCAGCATTAAATTCACCGGTAACCATTTGTACACCTGGGCGGAGAGAGGCACTGTGAGAGTCAAGAACACAACACAATATCTCCAGTCAGGGCGCGAACCCGGACCACTTGATCCGGAGGCGAGCGCCTTAACCGTGAAGCCGCGGCAACTCCACATTCGCTTACTGGATAAAGAGCAATTAAACTCCAAGCAAATTCTGATCACTGTGTTGTAAAACATTCATTTATTTCTCCTGAATTACTTCAAACTAAATGTGTAAGATCCATATTTCAGATTCTGCCTCATATAAGACACCACGGACCGCTGAGCAAACCTGAGGGCTGTCCAGACTGGGTATATATCCTAATGCATCAATGCTGGGCATATGAATCCGTGCAGAGACCACCCGCTCTCGCCATCTTTGATTGCCTCACGAGCAGGTACGTTTTAACTCTTTTAAATGGAGTAAAATCGACGCAAGCAGTATCATCAGTTAATATTAAGAATAAAAACGTATTCAGTGGAGATGACGTTAAATAACCCTAAAATAAGCAAGTGTTATCTAAGATCATCTCATTACCATGTTGCTCGGTAAATGAAAGTCGGCAAGCGAAGTTTTTGAGAATCGAGTTTTCGATGCTTAGACAAATGGAGAATTTAAACTAGGAGACACCACTCGAGGCACAAATTTAGTTTAATTTCAATGTAACCAAGTATGATTCAGTATATCAGGAATAAGTAGTCGCTGAGTTACAACAAGTCAGAGAAGACAGACATGACAAGTACTATATATTGATATTACTTCTCCGTTTGTTAAGGGAGCCAATGACGTCCTGGATAATGAGATCCTGGCTGAAAAGTCACGACGAAAGTGAATGGCCAGACTTAACTATCTGTCAGACAGAGGATGCTTGTCATGTAACAGATATGAAGAATCACCCCTCCAAGGAAGTCATCGAGAAGATGTGCTCAGACGAGTTCTTTACCAAGCACATGTACAAATACGTCGACGTTCCTTCCGTAACCGTAAGGGACGACGAAGAGGATAATTACTCACGTTGTCCGAAAGTTGGAAACTCTGAAGCGGACGAGCGTTTGGACATAAGCTCGAATTACGAAGCTGCCTACATTAGTCCTAATCCAGTGGAAAGAGATCACAAACTTATGACAATTAACCAAGAACCTCGGGAACCATTCAGTAATGAATCAGGCTACTTGAGTCCAGCTGCAATGGAAGCTGAACAACGTAGTGAAACTGAACACCATTCCTCCAATCAGGGCCTAACCGAGGGACCTGGGAGCAAGAGAAGTCACACCGAGATATACCAAGCTGAAGCTGTTTCCAGGACAGCACAAGAAGGCACTTATTCTCAAGTGACAAAGATTAAAAAGCGCGTTGTAGAGTACAGCAACACTGCGTTCAGTTCTGATCAAGAAGGGGCCTCGCGGGTTGAAGACGCCGAATCTATCCCAAACTACGATAAACCTCGTGTAGCTTACGAAAATGCGCTGTACATTCTGGATCAAGGCCATACTTCCGCGGATGAAGGCACTGGATTTAGCCCAAAACAGGAAGCATGCCTTGATGAGTATGAAGCCGTGGACGGCAATTCATCGGTGTGCTTGTATCAGAATGCCGCGTTTTGGGCAAGTACGCATCCCACGGTTCCAGACCAGTTGGTGCCACAGGGCGATCACCTCTATGCAAACATGCAGGAGAAGGTAGACGGGGTTACTGGTACAAGGTCCCTGCTGGGTACGGAAACTGGGCAGCCCCACATGGAAACTCCCTACCAAGAACAAGAAACGTCCCCACAGCTGGGTCATGCGCTTCATGATATCGCCAACAAAAACAGTGCTGGAGTTTCAGACCGAAATCCCATAGCACCTTCGTGGCTAAATGATCCTAAATTGGAGGTAACATTTTATGTTTGAGGCTGCCAGGTGTGATACAATGATCAAATTAGAACATCATGATCATAAACAAATAATATAAACGTGACCGACTGTGTAGTACGTACATATAGAGAGAGCTATTTTGTTATTTACTCTAGGAGAGGTACATATAGAGAGAGCTATTTTGTTATTTACTCGAGGAGAGTTTTAAAATTGAGTGTATAATTCAATAAGCCAATAGGGAGACAACCTTGGATGATTCTATCGTGCAACTGATTTAATTTGCTGACTTCATGAAGAATATTTTCGTGAATCTTCACAAGGAATTGTTACTTAACCCAGGTGCTTAACATTGCTGTACATAACTCATAAGTCGCAAGTCTCCAAAACGGGCATTAAATGCCAATTAATGGACTGTACAATTAGTTCTGATGTTCTGAGTCGTTAGAAAAGGATATATATATATATTTGTTCGTGCCCCAACACACTTTATTTACATTGTTAATTAGTCGAGTGAGTCACTGAATCAGCCGTGTATCTCGGCATATATACACTGGAAAAGTGTTGAGGTCGGTCCCATATGCGTATTTTATATTTAAAAAAAAAAAAAAGAATTTTTTCATTACAGTGAATTTTAACCTAATTTTACAATAGATTATTTTTGTTAGAGTATATGCATGACCTCGTCTCTCACTTTATTAATGTATCCTTATACATTCGCTAAGCAAAATGTGATGAGATGTTTGGTTTACTTAGTTGAAAATATTATAGTTCAGTGGTGTATCATTTTTTTCTCGTTTTAATAGTGGAAGATATTTTGATACTGTATTTTTTTGATGAATTTTACAATTAGTCAGGTACAATTGGAAACCCAATTGAGGAGCAAGCGTGAACGTTACTACTGTTTTCGGTACACGCTTTTAAAATGGAAAAGAAACTGACATGACTAAGATTTGGATGTTTCATCGATATTTATGCAATAAACTTAATGTTACATAGTATCTATCACTCGTTCGCTGTGTTCACTCGTGAGATATACCATCAACCAGCATCAACACGAGAAGATAACATTAGATGATTATGTCATATTCTTTATGGAATACATTACTGTAAATTCAAAAGATCTGCTTTAGCCGCCAAATTGGGGCCGTTTGGACGGGTAAAATACAGAGCCTTCATAGGATCTGACTTGGCTATTAAGGTCGCAATAGCCTGGTCGCAATGTCCCTGGGCTGCATTCCAGGCTGGGCTGAAATAGTTCTTTGACCCATGAATTAAACTGTACCTCAAACAACTTAACGACAGGCTGCATCAGACGTTCGGTCTCCTGGGTGAAATTGGAACTTTGGCGGGGCTGAAAACAGATCTTTTGACTTTGCAGTGTGTAATTGGTGTAATAAATGTTATTATTTTTATTAGTTATTTTGTTATAAAATTTGTATTTGGCTGGACATCGGTTCACACCAGCTGATCATCGACCGGTGGATCGGGTATCACGATGAATAAAGTAGGTTCTAGTTTGAAGTCTTGATTAGTTTCTATTTGGTTAAAACATATATATATATATACTACACGCACACAAGCCTTCGAAAGATACTGCAATTAACTTGTTCCTGTTATCGTGATGTATATTCGCGAATGACAGCACATTCCTGCTATCATGATGTATCCCAACCTCATACATCGATTAGAAAAATATTCGCCAATGACAGCACATTTGACACAAAGAAGCGACACATTTCCTGCACGATTCCGTCTTCACTCAGCAGTTTTGCAAACTACTATAAATAACAGGCTGCACAAATGCATGCTTGTGAATGCCATGCATCAACAAGCGATTACATCAACAAAACCATCGAGGTCCATCGAGATGAAGTACTTAAAACACATGACTGACACACCGCTCTTCAGCCGTACATAATCCATCATAGTTAACGGAACGGTTATATTGGACAGGTGCTTAGGAAATGGAACGGATTCCCTTTTTAATGCATGGAGAACAAGTTGTTAAAGGACTGTTAAGTCCAAGATAACAAAGCCATCTTTTCATTATTGAAGGTCTTTAATCTTCCCTTCCAAAACCAAATGACTGATCTTGCTTGGTCAATAAAGCGAAACATTTGCTGCAAATGCAAATTCCGATTACAAAAAACTGGCCGATGAAAAAAATTTCCCTTGTTAACTTCCTATTGAACTGAATATGAACTGAATTGTAATATCTTATTTCGTAAGGTAGTAGGACTGACAAGTTAATCTTGGAACCAGATCTCCTTGTGGCAAACTAAATAAATCACAAGCGGATGAATGCCAAAATTCTGATGACCCTGGCATCAGGGAAAAGGGAATTTCCGGGCTGGGCTGTCACTGCTTACGAGCAAATTGCGCATTTGCACGAGATATCTCTTGTGCAAGACGAATGGCAATATCATGTCCAAGAACACAACAACCTCGATCCCTGAAATGGACCTAGGCGTTTATGCAATGTTTATTAGCCAAAATGGGCCGGAGGAAGGGGAAGGAATCGGGGTGTCATCTTGTACTGATTTGACAATGATCAGACTTCCCTGATCAGGCACATAGGGTCGCTCGTAGGTCCCATTACAGTGGGCGAACATTATTTTTAGTTCTGAAAATTGGTACTACGATGAACTTCACTTTGACCACGTCTATCAAGCCCCATTGGAGTTGGTTGTTTTTAATTTTCATAACCTGTACTGACGACTTTAATTTTCTTCAATGTTTTGCTGATACGTTCTATATTGTAATTCGGTCTGAAACGCTCCACGACCACTGTGAATCGATGATGTCATACGCTCTTTGGACTCGGAGGGATTTTCCCAAGAATTCTGCCGTCCACTCGTCTAGAGGGGAAGGGATTTTTCTGTGTCCACTCCCTTATGGGATTTTTCCCAGACGTTTTGATTTCAATTTAGGTTAATCCTTAAATAGGTGTTCGGTAAACGGTTATGCCACATTCAATCGTTGCTGGTGAAGCCGGGAATTTTAGAGTTCGCAGTTAAGGAACTAGCCCTTACTTTCGCTCTAATAATGGCGGCAACTGGCAGTAAGTTCTTAACTTTTCTTACTTGTTTGTGTCTTTTGAGGTTGTGGGCAATATCATTTGAACTTCAAGAGTTTTGTTTGTAAGAAAGTAATTATATTCTCAACTGAGTAATATGAAAACAAACCCCAAATGTTCCCAGCTCACTTAACTTCGCAACGAAATTAAATGGTAAACGCTGGTAACCTTAGCCATATAGCCATAGGTCAGCATGATACAGTCCCCGCAGTGAAGGTGGCTAGTTGTTCATATGTCTCACTTTAGACCGCATATTAAACCGGCAACGCATTTGTGAATAGCAATATCCACTGTAATATAGTCATGTAAGCATATACAGAACACCACTCTTGCTAACCTATGCAGAGAGGTTTTACCCGTTTCATCGTGGCAAAACATAAGTAGCTCTCAAACTCTTCGGTATACAGTATACATGTAGTCCTCGTTAGAGAATAGCATGCATAGGACATTTAACAACAGCTGGTTTGTGATATTCAGTTACGCTGCAATTGCTGTGCGAGCCTTAGAAAATCAAATATTCATGCGTTAATGCGCAAATTCAAGATGTGTCATTTTCAATATGAAAGGGAAAAGTCCCAATCAATCAAGGTCATTAAGACTTCCGCTTACAGTTTGTCAAAATCAGTTGTTTTTAATACAATCGATGACGAACTTATGTTGATCACATAATTCATACATTAAACCCTAATTTACATTGAAGCTGTATATTTTAATAGGAATAAAGATTTCAAGCAATAAAAATTTCAAGCTTGAGATATGGCACTGTTTTCGCAAAGCATATAGACCCTTTTGTATAAATGGCTGTCAATTTCAAATTCTTTTGCATTTATGAAAATTGGTTTCACTGAACTCGTTTGAGTGTAAAAATTCCTTTGAATTATCGCCTCAAAAAACGAGGTTAGTATGGCCAATTTGAATACTTAAAAAAGGAATTTAAAATTGCAGCTATTTATGAAAACAGTCTATGCTTTGATTTAAAAATTGAATAAAAAACCTTACGTACGTAAAGTGAAGTTAACAATAAAATAACAATATTACCTACACCCAATCATAAAATACAAATTAAATTCGAGATAAGACAGGCAGCTACAAATATAATGTTAAGGAATTCGTGCAGGATCAGTAAGGTTAACTATGTTACACTTGATCAAGCTAAACCCGACTCAGCATTCAAATCCAACCGACTTCGGCAAAGGAATTTACTCAAGAACGCTCTGCCCGAAACGGCCCAAGCTTAATTCGTTTACGGTCAGAGTTTATTTAAAGGAGTACATGTTCCCTCTTGAAAGGAGAACCCGTTTCCGCCGTGTGAGGAACGGATCTAGCGCTCAAATTAAATGGGTTTAGGCAACACCTGCTTATTCATGATTCTCTGTTTCAATTATTCGTGAATTTTTGTTTCTTTTTTATTGAAGTCTCGTGTCAAACTGGTGGACCGACGTTCTTTTATAACTACATCACCAGCATATCAGGAAGTGGTTTTACAGCTGTAGGACCGGGAGCACAAGCTAATAATTTCCAGCAATCACCAGCAACAGGTACTTTGTATTTTAGCGTATGAGTCAGTATTTACTAGCTCAGTCATTACTAAGGTCACATAACGCTCCTCTGGGGAGCGTTGCGTTACATCCCAAACAACCGCTTTTCTGGAAAAGTAGTAATAAACCGAGAATACGCAAGATTTGTACGACTGAGGAAAAGTGAGACAGATTACCTTAAGGACAAAAGCTAGAAAAAAATTAAGCAATTTGTTCAAGCTATATCGTTTTGACTCAGTTTCTTCCACTCCTCGTCAAGAAAAGCTAAACATTTGCTAGCAACCAGAACATTGTTTTAGTAATGCTTGTTTGTGCTTTTTTGTATTCATGATGATCGCTTTTGAATTCTCACAAATTGGCTGATGTGTTCCTCTGAATGCTATAAGTCACATCCTTATCGACTCTGTTAAAATGTCAAAAGTTGTTATTCAGAGTCCGGGGGGGTACTTTGGGAGTTTCTGGGTGGCGATGTGCCGCTGGGACCCTGGAATCCTTAGCCTATACCAGAGCTAGTTCAGCTGAATTTTGCTACCCTATACTAAACTTCCCAAATCCCCCCCATCTATCGGCACTGTTGAGGCTTATTTGCATAAATTTAAACTTGCCGATTTGATTTTTTTTATATTTTTGAGTGGCAATTCCTGGTTTCCTTAGTCTAGATAAAATCTTTAACCAACTAGTCAGTTTTGTGAAAAATGATACCCTGTTCTAGACCCAAACGCTCTGATATACCCTATCCTAGAGTAAACTGCTTGAAAACCATACCCTTCACAGTGGCACATACCTATATAGCCAATATATGGCACTACTCCGCCCNGGTTCAGAGTTAACACCGGCCAGGTAGTTAACTTGAATTGATTAAGGATTGACAGGTTACTATCTTTTCATGTCTCTCCAGAGGATGTTCATGTCCAGGAACACAGTGCTAGACACGGAAGTTCAAGGGACAAGGAACAACAGGAACCAATTTATAATGGGACGTATATCTACGACAGAGCCAAACCGGGAAGAAAGTCACTTTCATCCGAGAATAACTCTGGAACGTATTGCTTTCCCAACATAAACGAGGCATATTACCAGCAACACTTCGGCCCAAAGTGGAATCCAAAACCAAGTAAAAGGATTCTTGCCCAACAAGGTAAATGTGTGTAAAGGTTAACTCAAAAAAGTCTTAGTAAGCCATTACTCATGCAGGATGTACTGTTTAGTATGGCAAGAGTCAAACAGGTATTGTCCATAAAATAGAAAAAAAGAGGAACTGCGAAAATTGTCACGTACATGGCCGCCCACTTCACCGTGTTGTCAAATTGTCGTATTACTTGCAAGTAATTGTTTGAGTTTTGCATTGACTGACACTCCCCTAAGCCATATTACATGTACTTCCACTGACCAACAAATATGATTCACAGATGTTAGAAAATGCAAGGTGTGCCATTTTTAAAAGAACCAGATTAACATTGTTTTATGGATATAAAGTTTCGATAACTTAGCAAATCCAAGAACCTGCAAAAGTTGCCGATTATCTGATATCGTCGAAAATATGATGGTGCTCAAAAATGCTCAGAGTAGAAAAAATTGGGAAGTTGACAAAAAGCGACCAAGACAGCGAGAACGCAACGTCTTGAGTTTTCACAAGAAAACGATACCATCAGTACAAAAAGAATGCAGCGAAGATGATTCAAATAATCAATAGTCAGTCATCATTGTGCATTATTCCATCAGGGGTCACTGATGCTAAGTCTTCCATAGCATCATTTCTCGAAGATGTAGAAAAATCTGTGGCGGATTTCGACAACGCTGATGGACCGCTCAAAGAGGAGAAGGAGCAGTTCATACTGCTTCACATTCTGCCGTATCTGGAAAAGTCCTGGGGTAAATCGGCTAACGACAAAATGAACGCGTACAGGATCCTGGCCAAGATAAGCAGTAGTCGAAGCAGCGGTGAAGTGGTTAAACAAGCCCTGCTGCAGCTTCAGTATCTGCTCTTCAGAGATAAGCTCGAAAGTTGTCAGCAGAATCTTCTGAAGGTGGAAAAGATTATAAGGTCATCCATCAACTCTCCGGAAGCTGTTTTCAAGGAGGAAGCTGACTCAGTAAAAGAAATTCGACTTTCTGTTTACCAGCGTATCTTATGCTTGATTATTGTCCATCAGATTCAAACGGGTTTCTCCACCGTGGCGTTCAACAACGATCTGAAGAAACTCCGAGAAGAATTGAAAATACGCTCCGATAAGATCAACTACAAGAAAAAGAACTATTTCCGTTATTCCATGGAATTCATAGAAGAAGCGATAAGCTATTTGTTGAAGCCCAATAACAAGGTGGCGGCCTCAAAATTAGGTGGCTGCCTTGATCAATGCCAGGGCTTATTTGAGAAACAAGACTTTGATGTAATGGACTTGACGTTTCTTCGAAAGTTAAAGAAAAGTAGAGCTGTCGTGAAAAAGACGAAAGCTGGGGAATGGTTTGACCTGCACTGCATCATGTGCTATCTGCATGGAAAGGTACGTTGTTTTGGTGATACGGAGGTACGAGTCCTCTAGAGAACCAAAAACCGAAAATAGTACTTATTCCTATATAGAGTCTCACACAATTAGAGACGATGACACTACTTAACGCAAATAAAAACTGTTGCTTCAAGAGATGTTCTCTAAGTGTTCTGCATATCACAAAAATATTATTTTACTAGTTTATGCCTTGAAAACATGGAGCAACTCTATGCTTTTCCCGGTAAAAATTTGCCCATTCCATCTCTGTGATAAATTAAACGTAGTTGCCATTTCATTTGTCTCCGTGTTTTTCTTTCTTCAGGTACACAGTGAGTGTCCTAAACGACAGATGCGTACTGAGAGACGAGCAATGATTCTTCTAAGGCGTATCCTTGAAGCCTATCAAGAGGAGGGTGGTGGAGATGATTGGAGGTTTTGTTTGTTAGGGGCATCAATCCTGTCTGATGTGGCAAGGAATAACGTCACGAGAGGTACATATATGACCTGCCTGATTACATTAGGAGCATTTGATGCCCTCATTGTAATGCTCAAATGTTTTCATTTTGCCACTGATTGTTTTAGTATTGTAGCCATAATAAATACAGTAATTTCTTAGTTACTTGCTGATCAGAATTGGTTTGCTATTTTATATATTAAGTATCTCCATATTATTTTGTTTTCGTCCTTGGATATAGAGTTAAGAATCGAGGCTGCGAGTTGTTTGATAAATCTGCTAAAGGACAAGAAGCTACAGAGGAGACCAGAATGCAGAGTAATCCTAGAGCGTATGTCTTCAGAGGTGCTGTTTAGTCCTGACCCTTTCACGAAGAAGCTCTTTGCAAACCATCTTTTTGAGAATAACAATTTACTAGACGCGCTTCCAGAAGAACTGCACGTCCAACGCCTTACGACCTACTACCGAAATCAGACATTAGAAGTCAACAAGATGACCATCAGCCAAGGACAGAGCTGTTTTGTCAAACGTGGCATGTTTCAAAGGAAGGAAGTGGTCGTGAAAATCCTTCACATGACAAAACAGGACATTCTGGAAGGTGAAACTCAGGACCAATCGGAGACAAGAGATCGTCTCGTGAGAGAAGCCTACAACCTCAGTCGATTGAGAGTTCAGAAACATCCCCACATAACAGTTCTTCTTGCTTACAACACTGAGAGCTTTCCGTATCACATCATTACAGAGTTCGAGAGATACGGCAACTTACTGCAGTTTGTTCAAGCTTCGCGAGAAGGCAACGAGCTTTTGCCAACGGTCCTGCTGCTCAAAATGCTCCTCGACATAATTGAAGCTCTTCTGCTGTTGCAAAACCAAGGATTGGTGCACCGAGCTGTCAGAGCCGAGAACATTCTTGTAGGCGATGAATACGTCTGTAAGTTAACTGGCATGCACTCTTTGCGACAGCTTCAAACTGAATCCACTGCCGAAGGTAAATAAACTCGATTTTCTGATAATTTATTTTCAGACAAAGTTATAGTAATTTTAAGGTGAATGTACCGTTTTGTTAGGGAAACTGAGATCCACTTCAAATTTTCTCTGAGAACATACAAATCTAAATTGGGCAAACAAAAGGAATATGATTGGTTTCGGGCTTGAAAAGGTTGACAGTGGCTTGACATGTTGACATTTCTTTTTATGGACAATTAGTAACGACACTAGTTTTTCTCTTCACTAATTTTACTAATCTTAAGCTATGTATTGAATAACATGTAAGCATGACTCGTATAAGACAAGCAAGGCATTATAAACTAATACACAGATGAATGCCTTGTTACCTAACCGATACGAATGATGAACAGTAGAATAGCTTTCTGTGAAGTACGTGTTCTTGAAATCCATTTGGTAGTTTACAGAAGTTATAATGAATTTTATGTCAGGTAGTCCATAGGATAAACAGAGGTTTCCATTATCACGACGAGTTGGCATTGCGATGCATTGCTTTTAATTTACAGTCCAAGACTCATTGTACGACTACTGTTCGGCCGACGACAGTTGCCTAGATTGAAGTTATAAGTCCTAATGATGAGATTTACCAGTTAGATGGAAAGCATCCGAGTGCCTTTTGGAGCATCGTTAAAATTTGGAGGCAGATGCTCTTTCTTTGAATACCGTGCAAAAGAACTAGTAAAAAAGCAGTGCAGCCATACCCTGGGTGCCAGAGGTTCGTTTTAGTGACGAAGTCCTACCTATAACGGGTTTAAACTCCACCCCCGCTTCCCCCTCAACAACAATAACGTTATCTCCCGCAAGTCACTGCGACATTGAAAAGTAATCTTCAAATGAGAAGTTATGTCATGTTATTTTTACTTGCAGCTGAAAATCCGGATTCTCAGTATAGCTATTGTTCACTGGATGATGGTCTTCCAGAATTCATCAGCACAACAGCTGAGGAGCTGCCGAAGAGATGGCAAGCACCAGAGTGTCTTTTGGAGCACCGTTATTCCACTGCCTCTGATGTGTGGGCCTTTGGAGTGCTTATGTACGAGGTGCTCACATATGGGTGTGGCCCATACAGAAACGTCCCAATTGACGATGAAGTCATCAGCCAGGTAAGCGTTGTGCTCATCATTTTAAAAGACTACTTTGTGTCATTTGTCATTTTTATGATTAAAATCTCAAACGTCTTCCCTGGCGCACTTTCCATTTTAACATAAATTACTTTAGAACGACAGAAATTGCTTCATGGAAATAACATTGATACAGCAGGGTCTGACCTAGTAGGTCGGTGCTTCGTTGCACTCCAGGATGGGAAGAGTCTGGGATCGAGCCTGTTTGGGCAAGATACTTCACTCTCACAGTATCTGTAAACCCTCTCACATTCTGATCTTAGTCTAAGTCTAGTCATGTCTTTTGTAACCAAGTCTGCAAAGATCAGAGTATCCTGATCTGTAATTGAGTGGTAAAATTAAGCTTATTCTACAGTAAGTAATGTACTTGTATCTGTGATGTATTTGCCAGATTATTGCAGTATAAAGTGGTTATTGTGAGAAAAAAATTAATACGATTTCGTTAGTTAAAGTGCAAATAAATATTGTCAGAGAAAATCTGCAAAGCCTTGGTCCAGTTAAAACGAGTTAATGCGAAAGATTGAATAACCCGACAAAATTGCTGAGGGAAGCCTACATACGGTATCATTGCATACATCCAGCAGTAGGAATACACCTAGTCACTTTATTCTGCTAAATAAACGACTACGTACAGAGCTGGTGATTCCGCCGTCTTGAATACAGCACGGGGATTTCAGATAGATACATATGAAAAGAGCAATATGGTTGGATTTCGCAGAGCAACACGCAAAGAAATGACAGTGAAAGTGGCCTCCGAGTGTAAAGCAACTTTTGCGATATTGGGTCGATAGGGTGCAGACAAGTGATTGTAATCTACACTTAACTGACATAACAACGCATGTCACCGTTATAGGTTGTGTACAAAAGACACGTCTTGCCGCGTGAATCATGTTTTGAAAATGCAGAATATGACATAATGAGGCAATGTTGGGAATGGCAGCGAAGAAAAAGGCCAACCCTTGCTGACCTCAAAGAGAAGCTGGAGAAATTGCAAGAACATGCAACGAATTCAGGTAACTTATATATTTTTTTTTACGGCAGCGCGGAAAACGGAACACATAAAGCCATCCTTAGCCGACTGATTTCGTCTGATAGGGTTGCTTTAGGACGAGGAATTCACGTCGAACAATGAGCTGGAAATTTCAGCCATGTTTCCTTTGCAATCAATTTAAAAAAAAATACCCCATTTGCATAAGTACATAAGAAAACAACAACCAAATCTAATGATTTCTGCGTATGGGATAACAATTGAGTAAATTTAAGAAGAAAAAAATAATGAATACCAGACACTCATTTTGTGAATCCTTTTCTTTGAAAGAGGAGATCCCGAGGGATGACCCGCCACCACTAGAGCTGCACATCAATTACGTAAGTTAAACAATAAACACCCGCATATAAGAACAAGTGGATTAAGAACATCAGGTTGAAAGTTGGCCAATAAAGCACCATAAATATAAGAACCAATTCAGCCTGATAAATAAAACATGTTCTTACATAAAAAGAAAGAGGATGCAAGAATAAGAAAGCTCTCAGATATTAAATTACTATGGTGTGCTAGACCTTACAAACTCTTAATGTTTACTTTTATTGGTAGTAGTATTCATTCATTTTTTATTTGAAATTGATTTTTTTTAGTGTGTCGAAGTGTAAGTAATAAAACATTATATGTTAATGAAACCTCTAGTAATGTATTATGTAATATAAGGTATTTCGGAAACAAATTTTAAGAACATTTTAAGGTCATTCCACTGAAATGGAACCTGCATTGAGATTTTTGATTGTTTCTATTATAGGAACTTCAATTTTGAAATAGAAATGAGGGGTCTCCGTGTTGGTTTAGGAGCAACAGCACCTCGTTTATACCCAATAAATCCTTATAATAGTACCATGATTATAGTCACGATTGCTTGCTAAATTCGCGTTTCCGACGATTGTCTTTTGTTCTACACTGAGAATTGTCAAGGTACTCGTTTTCGAGAAAATGACGACTTACCTTTATGGCGAGGTCCGCCGTAAAGAAAAAGCCGCCATTTTTTAATGCGCACGTGCTAATCACGCGTGAAATTATGCGCAGTAGGGATGCGCAATGCAATACTGGGGAATGACCATAAGAACATTTTCAGGCAGATTTCTCACTAAGCACCCAGCAAATAAGAACTTGATTAGCCTGAACCCCGAAATCATAGGTTCTGACATGAGGGTGTTTACTGTACAACTGTGTAAGTGGTATAACCAAAATGAATAGTGGGGGGCCTCCAAGAGGATTTCGTCATACCATTTCGCGGTTAAGTAAGTGTTTTTGCATCGTACAAGTAAAACTGAATGGTAACAAAGATAACTCCAAGTTGCATTTTCTCTTTCAATAGACTTCCTTCTTTCAGTCAGACAACGGTGCTGATGATTTGCCAAAAAGATTTTTGGGACAGGTTAGTAGTGAAATAATAGTTATAATTCGCGCCCACTTCCTTATTAACTGAGGGCAATTTTATTGCTCCTTATGTAATACAAGTTCTCGCAAATTATCTCGCTTGATATGAAGAGCTTTTTGTGGTGCCTGGGATGTCCCTACAAATGAGGTTTGAGTACACCATATATACCATATCCTTAGGAGAGAGTTAAATTGATTACAAAATTAAACGTGAGAATGTTCACGTTACTTACGACACAACGACCGGGGAAAGGTAGAGAGATTTGATGATTGTGTGTCTGTGTAGCGGTGGTGGAAGGGGGAAGGGGTGTTGCCGTACTGGACGGTAATAACCTACTCATACTAATAAATGCGAAGACCATAGGATGAAAACGCTTAGTTAAGAGTTAAATGACGTATAGTTATTGTGAACGAGACATGGGTAAGTGGGAGCAGAAGGCGGGTGAGCATATCCCTGGAGAAGCGAGTTTCCGAGGATTTGAGTAGGCCTGGATAGCAGGAGGTAAATTTGAAAGTTCCCATCACGCGTGTATTCAATGCATGCAGTTCATACAGCATTAAACACATATTTAAATTGAATATTATTCACCTTAGTAAGCAAAGTGAGATAGTAGCTATTGCTTCAGGAGATCAGTTAGGTAACAGTTAGATAAAGGCTGTAGTTGTGGTGAAATACATAAATAAAAAAGTATGATCGTCTGTCTCACGATGTGGTCACTTGTGAGGTAGATCAATCAGATGCTGTGACCGAGTTACTGACCGCAAACGGGTTGTTATGGGCACTTACACCAGTTGGTCACTGGCTGGTTAAGGATGTATGGTAATTTAATTCTATTTTTTAGTGCCTCATCAAATACATTTGTAGGTCTGTAAAGTAACCTCTTGGAATGACTGCTATTGTGTTTTCATAGGATGGTCCTTTGGTAAAGGAAAGGATCACTGGTGCAGATAAACAGCATCTGAAAAAGCTGCGTACTCTCAACAATCCAAATCTTGTCAAGATATGGCAGATAGAGAACTTAGAGTCCCATTGCCCAGTTGTTGAAATGGTAAGTATGTCATGCCTCTAGTTGCAGGTGTAAGAAAGTTCCCTTCCTCTATTGTTATAAATTGTTAAGCCTGAAAAGACAAAATGTCATTTCTTTCCTTCACCTTTTCGCAGCGAGAAAGTGGCTACTTTCCAAAGCCTATATCTTACGTGCTATCCCTCCCCCCTCCTCTTTTTGGCACCTCCACTCTCTCTAAACATTTTTACAAATGGAGTANCCCCCCCCCCCCCTGCTCTTTTTAGCACCTCCTCTCTCTCTAAACATTTTTACAAATGGAGTAGTGGTGCATTTACTCTCTGGCTTTGAGTTATTGAGCGTCAACTGTCGATGTTCTATAACACGCAACGGTCACTCTAATCGTAATAGCTAAACAGAATTCAGAAAAATATGACAAGATTACAAATGTTTCTTAATCTTTGAGTATTAGTACTTATAATCCATCAAATATTTTCGCTCACGCGCGATTAGTCTAAACGCGTCACGTGACTGAATATCCCCAAGCTAAAAATGGGAATATCCGAATGTCAAAACTGCGCCAAAAAGATTTCAAGGATAATAAACACAATAGATTCCGTTTAGCGTGAAAATATGCTCGGATATTTGTCCTTGAACATGAGATAGAGGGAATGTTACGCTCTAGTTACCTAATTGTATGTTAATTTGCTTTTGACTAGATCTCAATAGACTCTACCCTTGGGAACCTGAAAGAATACGTCCTTGACAGACGATGCCAGAAGGGCGACATAGTTATGTTCTTGTCCCAAGTGGCGAGCGCTCTGCACTACCTTCATGTAAACCACATTGTACATGGAGACATTCGCGCTGAATATGTGAGCGTGTTGGCACCAAACAAGGTACGTCCGGTCAGATACTCGCGCGCATGGGCAGGCGAGTATGCCAATTTCTTTTTTTGAATCTATTCAATTGTTATAACAAGCATTTCCGAGTTGCTGTTACCTCTGCTTCGAAACGAGTCTCGGAGCGCACCTTTCATGCGGAAATGTTTATGTTGAATGTTCATTGTCTTGCAACATTGCCATATCTGGCCGAAGTAAATTTTCAGTTATTTTTTCGCAAAATTCAACCAACCCTTTACATGAGCATTGCAAATCCGTCTCGGGGGTGAGGCAACTCGGGTGGGCAAGTGGTCTCGCCTCGGCATGTAGGGTAACCCAGGCGAGCGGGACAACTTTCCTTCATATGAACGAACACTTTGGCTCGTCTAACCGAGACAATTCTCGGCGTGGTGAGTTTTACCTAATGCCTAGGTATAGGATCTAAAGCAGAAATTCGTATCAAAGAATTGAAAACCCACTTTGATCGAATGACCGAGGGATATCCAAGGAAAAAGGGATGTTATTCAATAAGGGTCATGAATAATCATGCAGGGTCAACCTTGACTCGGACTACAAGGACAATGTTTTCACGTATAAACGCTCGATAAAGTTGCCTTGCGGGGGAAGGGTTGTCTCGGGTACCCGAGACCATATAAATGGGGCCTAAGTGTACAGCAGAAATTGGTAGACATAACCATTCAATCGACTTTTGATATTAATGCATGCTTTTTAAGTCTCGGATTTTAAACATGGCTGCTGGTAGTCATTCCGTACAAAGAAATGAAATTTCGAAATAGGTCTCATGTGTGCAATCTATATAAAGAAAGAAACGGCTAATTTAGACCTCAAAGGATGATGAAAGCGGTCAGGACTACAGTTTATTTCTACTACTGTAAACAACTAAAAGAATTTACAAGATTATAATTATAAATAAATAAATAAACAGTACAGTACATACAGTAGAGGGACACCCAAAATAACTAAAAAGCTAAACTAGTTGGGTGACCGTAATTATAATAATTAAAAATGTGAGAGTCAGGAAAGAGGCACAACAAATACATTGGTACACATAAATATCATAAACTTGGTACAAGAGTAAATATACAAAACAAAACAAAATAAATAGATATAAACCATCAAAATATTAAAATTCGAAAAAAAGGGGTTTGTCCAAACGGGATAAGTTTGAGCTGCAGAAATGTTATGCAATTTGTAGACCCCGTTCGTCTGTTTCTTTGTTTGTTAAGCCAATTCAGACCATTCAAGAATTTTTCTCTTCAAATCTGATAATATGACTGTATAATGAAGACTGGATAAATGAAAGTGGTAATTCTCCAGAACATCACATGACTTGAAATTAGCAATTACATTTCAGAAGTTGATTCAGCGATATGTAATCAAGACAATTAAACGTAACCTTGAACAACTTTCAAGCGGCCCTGGGCAGTATAGTATGTGATCAAGAAATGATATGGGGATCGAGCTATGAATAAAATCTGTAATTGTAATTTGGCTGTACCCTTGATACTCATTTTATATTAATTTAAACCTTCAACAGATTCACGTCGCCCGTCTGGGTCGCTCCAAATCTTTGCCTAAGAGGGCAGATGATGTCACAAGTACGTCATGCGTCATTCAAAGTTCCATGCCTTCTGATTCGACTCGCTGGTAAGTAGCGAATTGATCAACGAAACAAACAACTAGTGAAACTATTTGATAGACAACCGCCATGCAGGTCTCATCAACAAATAGTTTCACCTTATAATAAATTGCAACATCACTTCAATGACAAGCACACGGCAAATTCAAATAATGGAACCTTAATTCACAGGGGGGTGTTGTGTACTATGCTTATGTATAAATTATGACGTCGCAGAACGAACGAACGGGTTGTGCGGACAAGTGGATCAGCAAACGAACGAAAGAACGAATTGACGAGCTAAAGAATTAGCGAACGGCACCGAAGAGTGGACGATCCGTTGACCAGATTAACGATAGAACAAACCAAAGAACGAAGGAACCAACAACGAACAAAAGAAGGAACGAAACGAACGAAAGAAGGAACGTCGAAACGAACGAACGAACGAACGAACGAAAGAACGAAAGAACGAACACACAGACGGACGGACGAACGAATTAATGGCCGACGGACGGACTGACGAAAGGACGCACAAAAGGACGGAAAAGAACGAGTGAATATCAGTGAGTGAACGAAACAACAAATGATAGGCAAACTGAAATTTTGTAGTCGCCATTTTTGCGTATTTTTTCGCATAACAATACTTACATAAGACGTGTCGTGTCTTTATAGCACTCATCAAATAACCAATCGAAATGATGAGAACCATTTACCACTGTTTGCCCCGTCGCATATTACTTCTAGAACAATCTATAAGATACTTACTCTTGTCAGTCATAGCTTTCTAACATGTCACTCTCCCATCCCGGACCCTGGACAAATGCAGGACTCTGAATACGTCAAAGGCATATTAATTAGAAGTTTAGAATATCTTAGGCTTTGTGACAGTACTTCAGGCTCTGGGAAAACACTCTGCAATCCAGACTCAAACCTCCCCCCACCCTCTCTCCGCCTCCCACTTTCTCGCTCCACGAAACACCCACGCAACGCGCGAGGCTCTCCAGCCGCGTTTACTGAATTAGAGTTATAAATATAAATCTAGACGCCTTCTTCCCTATCTACATTATTTTTGTACTGCAATATTTGGTGGATAAAGTCTTAGCCGGGTCTTTGAAAAAACCGTAGTGTTTTCCACAGTGCTTGCTCTATAACCGCATCCACATCGTTCTAAAAAATTGCTGCTCTTTCTAAATCAGTAAGAGTTTTGCTGTTTATATTATCGAGACCCCTTGTTTTGATTTTAGCATAACCGCCCGGAAAAGACAACTACAGTAAAAACACATGTGTGAGAACCTAGTGGTTTAAGACTGAACCTGCTGGCAGAAAGTTGCAATGTTAAAACCCCAAAACATAAAAACCTGTTGTTGTTGTTGTTGTTGTTGTTGTTATGGAGGCAGCACTACATACACATTTTCTTTATCAGTTATGTTAGGCTTATCATAATACAGTTGTGAATAAATATGTAAATACTGTACTGTACATTCAAGGCCCACCCCAAGTTTGTTTATTTTTCTGGCAATCAACAACTGTATCCTCTTAATAGAAACTTAGAACCTACTCAGCTTAAATTGCCAATAAGTACCCCAAATTAGAAGAACCTATTTTGCCAGACTTCAAAAAATGTCAGGTCTTACACACGAGTTTTTACCGTAGTAAGCCAGTTTGGCGAAAACAACTTGCGCGGAATAAGCGCTTCCTAAAAACGTTTTGGCTAGCTCAACTTTTATTAGGAAAAAAAAAGTCTGATTGAGAGGATTTTTGAAGATGCTACAGCCTTGTAAGTAGAGAAGAATTCCTGGGTTGTTTTGCCTGCATATATAAGACTCTTCCGGCGCGAACTGAGTCGAGTTACGTTTGACACAAATTTAACAAACGGGCTGTAGCCTCGAGAAGTAAAGTAAAGACAAATTTTAATGTGAAATATTAGAGATTCCCGGGAACCATATATAAAATTCATTCAACTTTTGTATAGATACTCAAGCAATACAACGTACCTAAAAGGGTTTAAAGGATTGTTTTCGCCAAAATAATAATTCCATGTCGATTTCTTGCCATGCACAAACTTGACCTTCAAGGTCGTTGTTTTTCAAAATATCAAGCCGTAACTGCCGCCTTTTCTCAACTTTAAAAAGTAAAACAAGACAACACAATAACGAAGAATTCTCCAAGCTATCTTTGTGATAATTCTCAACGCAGCATACTTCAGTGAGCTTTTCTAACCTTGGCTGTTGTAAAAAGTTTAACAATTTTTCCCTGTGCGTTCAACACTCATAGAATAATATAAACGTTCGTAGAATAATATAACCTGAAGAGTATCAGCAGTTCCCACTAAATAAAAATTAAATCTGTTGTTTTACACATGTCGCATTATACAAAGCGTTCGGTTATTAAACGGCAAACTATGTAAGCTTGTAAGTAAGCTTAAATTGTTGGCCGTGGAAAGTTGACGGGCATTTCGGAATCCCTTTGAACATTTTGCGGTTCAGAATTGAATATAAACACCACTGTAACGTTTATCCTCGAACCACTAGCAGCTAGATAAAATTCTAACGTTAATTTACCTTCATTTACGTTCCATTTCCTGTTTGTTTGGTCGACTTTATGTTACGCTGAATAAGTTCTAGAGAAGAACGATATTTGACCGCAAAAAACAGAAAACAGGAGACCTAGAGAAAGCTGTACACTGACGTCAGCGCAGATAATTGGAAGGGGGTGCCCACGAAAGATCAGGGCTTACCTGTCAATAAAGGGATGAGGACGAAATTATAAAGGGCTTTGTTTGAAAAGTGTAAAATTCAAGTCAAATTTTCCTTTCGAAAATGATTCAACTGATTAAAAGAGACTTGATATAATTTACCCACAAGTTTTCGTAGATTTAGATTTAGCAAGTAAAATATGTCTTGTAGCATTTCCTACATAATGATGCAAACTACAGTGCGCTTTTAAATGTCCCAAGCAAATCAGTTTCGCTGACAAGTTATTATTTCAATTAACTCAATTACATTTTACAACAGTCATGTTATTAGGAAAACGTTTTTAACAATTTTAACTGGGTTTTGGTCCACTGGGGAGGATAAGTAAATCTGATTCTAGAGCAATCCGAGAGTTTAAATTTTTTTTAACTCGAAAATTTCGCCTGAATGAAAAGCCATTTCAATTTCTAGTTCCTGCACACGTCATATTGCAACGTTGATCATTTATTTACTTTTTAATATTTTAACAGGAGCTCACCAGAACTGATTTTAGAGAACAACTATTCTCACGCTAGTGATGTGTGGGCGTTTGGGATCTTAGCGTGGGAGTTGTACACTGCATTCGCCACTGGTCAGGAGAGAAGAGGATATTCCGTGCCTTACTGTGACCTTGTCATTGACGAGGTAGGTACCATAACAATATATCAATAAAGGGTCATAAGAAGACCGAAAGAGGTTTGAGTTCAAGAGTAGATATAGACCAGGAAAAGTCATTGCTTTGATTGAAAAATAGATTTTTAGGCAATTTTTCTCCTCTGGAAGGTGAGATGAAAAAAGTGTAAACAAAAAAAGACTGTTGTAAAGAATATTCTCTGAGAAATCCGCGGGAGTGGTGAACTTAAAAAAAAAACCGCTCTTGAGTGGCGAATTGCGAATATTCTGCTTTTTGGCGCGTACTGCATGAACAATTCGCTTTAAAGTATTAGTTTTCCAACTTTAAATAGTGGTAAAAAATAAATTAAAACTTTATAAAAAACATTTGCACATCTTTATCAACAAAACACTCGGATACAGAATTTTAAGGGTGTTACCCTTTTAAAAGGCATGCGCCGTCCTATAAAGATATTGTTAACTGGCCATTTAGTATGAATTTGGCTGTTGCTCTTATGAATAGCTGAGAGGTCTCCTGCCTTGGGCACCCGAAATAAATGGAGTATTACCCCGATTACGCTAAATTAAGGCAACAAAAATTATTGTAACACAATGGTACAAAATCAAAGCTCATGTCCTTATCTCAACAACAGATTCTCCTTCACATAAGAGACAAGGGACCGTTGACCAAACCTGAGGGTTGTCCCGATTGGGTTTATATCATAATGCATCAATGTTGGACCTATGACCCAGTGCAGAGGCCGCCATTCATCGCCATTTTTGACTGTCTTACGAGCAGGTTGGTAGATCTTTGTCACTGTGTACTTCTCAAATTGAAAATAAAAACTCCTTATTCTAAACAGATAGTTTTATGGGCTGAAACTCCACTAGCGAACAACCTCTGAATAAAAACATTTGTTTTGTACCATTCGTCGATCACTCTCATTGTACTTATAAGCCAATGGATTAATTTCTGGATTTATAGATTTTTTTCCAAACAACAAATATCAGTGAACCATCTTATAAACAGCGGGAGATAACTAAATCCTGCATGTGATCGCATGCTTAACTTGGTTTTATTATATGTAATTAAGGGTAATAAGCGTCTCTTCTCAATCATTACGTTAATTTATTATATGGCTTGTGTTTGTGGCTGATATAACGCGCGCTCTGAATGGCTAATTGTAGGGCATTATTTAGCTCTTATTAACCGAGCAGGAAGTCTGTATGGGAGAATTTTGACCGAGGTCGTGAGTACAGACCGAACGCAAGTCTGTACACACGACCGAAGTCAAGGTTCTCCCATACAGACCGACTAAGCTCGGTTAATAAGATGTTTATTATATGGCAAACAGGAATAAATTAATTCGTTTAATGTACCTGGTTTGTACTAGCTGACATGTTGCTTGCGAACAGCGATGAGCTGAACTAAAATCTGCCAAGGTTTGCTCGTCCTCTTTACTTTTTTTTTCTCATCAAGCTTTTTGGCACTTCCATAAAGAAAAAAGAAAGAAAAAAGGCAATATTTTTGCATTTTAGTTTGCAACTTTTTACCTTAAAACATAAGCGGTCTAGATGCCGGTCTAGATAGGAAAATCTAGACCGCCTTCAATATAGTTCCCAGTCCTAGTGAGACACAGCCATATAATAATCTCCCCTAATGCCCACGGGCCAATTACGGGCCCGCAAAACCAAAGCAAAAAGCCATATAATAAACAACTTATTAACCTCAAACATTTGGTCTTTACGAGAAAATCCCAAACCTGGGCCTTGCCGTATTGACCTCGCTATCGGTTAATAATTACTTAATATCACTTCCTCTTTTGAAGGCAACCGATGACGTCCTGGATGATGTCATTGTGGTTGAAAAATCACGAGAAAAGTGAGTGGCCAGACCTGTCAATCAGTCAGCCTGAAGATGCTTACCATGTGTCAATCAAAGACGAAAACCACTCCGAAAGAGCTATCGAGGAAATGTGTTCCGAAGGCTTCTTTACAGTACACGGTTACAGATACGTTCAGTGTAATGCTACAGCACAGCGAGTACCCGAAGAACTGTATGACGACTTTAAGGGGAAGGACTGCACTCAGAGCTCTTCATATCTGCAAGACGAAGATCTGTATGAGGAAGCTCTTACCTGTCAGCTTCGTGGCGGTTGTAACCTCAGAAGCCCACAGGAACTCCCCGATCCGAACTCTTTCACTATTGACCCTCGGTACAAAAATGTATGGGTTGACGTCACCAAGACAGATCTGCAAGAGGAGGATCCTTATGACGAGATTGCTGGTCAATATGATGACTGTTTGCACCTGATAAAGGAAGTCGTCCACTTGAAGGACGTCTCCACTGAGCCTCACTTCCAGAATGTGCAGATTGGCGTCACCAAGACAAATCTGCAAGAGGAGGAGCTTTACGATGACGTAAGAAGTACAAAGGGAGTCGTCGATTCGAAGATGGTCCCCCCTGAGCCTCGCTGCCAGAATGTACAGTTTGGCGTCACCAAGACAGCAGTTGACATGGTAACCGAGGTGCTGCGCGATGACGAGGATTACGACGATATCTCGTTCGAAGAACAGATAGAAGAAGACCAATCCCTTTACGAGGAGATTGGTAACCAATCTCCAGCTTTGTGCCAGTCGTCAAGCACAGATGAACACTCGGAAAATTGTAGCTCCGAGAACGAACATTCTTATATCGCAGAGGACGTTGGAAGTGAAACTGCCGATCCAGAGGATGAAGAATTGTACGAAGAGATAGCAGGCGCCGTAACCTCAAATTCTGTTGAGGCCTGTAGTTTCAAAAACCCTGGAAGTAGCGGCTGTAGCGAAAGTTCTGAGGCAGTTGGCTGTGACGAATTTACTAGCAATCCTGAACACGGTTCAGTTTCTATAGAGGGAGAGGTACAAAACCATGATGACCCGGTTTATGCCGAAATAGGAAGCTTGCAGCTGGCAGACATACGGTTGAACCATAACGCAGGAGGTCAAACTACCCCAGACAGCCCAGATACCCCAGGGTATAGAGAGCTTATGCCAAGAGAGTACATGTCACTCAGAAGGGAACAAGCGTCGACTTTGAACCCAAAGGATGCCAGTCCTGCTAAGAGAGATGTTGCAAAGTTAAATAACCGTAGGCGCCGTTGTAACAGTAAGGACACCACTGAGAATCAGTTTGGCGTCAAGGAACGATAAGAAAGCCAAAAGCTAAACCAGCAACATGTCAACATGAACACACTCGGGTGAACTCACAAAAAAACGTGCAGACACTAACCGAAGTGAAAAGCACATTATTCGTCTTTCACTGCAGTAATGTATGTTTGAAAGACGTTTTGTAGATGTAGTTGAAGAGTTTTTGCAGGCGTTTCAAAGCCTCATAATTTCAATTTATCCACCCGTATTCTTTGAAACAAATGATAGATACATTCCGTCTTTGCTTAATGCATTTGTGTATATTGTTGCACAGCGGTCAAACGCAAAAATTACTCCTCTTTGTTTCGAAGAGTTTCAAGCAAAACTTTGCTAGACTTTGGCAAGAAAACGGGACAGAACGAGAAGTGGTACTCAAATTACGAGCCGCTAAACTTGTAAGTAAATTAAAATTGTTATATTTTCTCATTATTTGCAGCGGAAAAAAATCTTTTCAATATATCCTGTACCATTTACACTTAATTTACATTTGCTAGCTGGACTAGTTTAAGAGATAAGGTTTATTAGCACATCGGGAGGGGTAGACACCTCAGAAAGACCTTGTCCGCTCGTCCCTTTATGAGATGGATGTGTCCTCTACCCAAATGTAGTTTTAGCCTACGGACCCACTGTTACTCTGTGGGAGGTTTCCAATTTGAAGAAGTTTGATTATATACCTAATATGTTTTCCGTAATACCGCCATGTGATCTTCCACTACCTTACCGACGTCTCCCCAGGGCATCGTGACTTTTTCCGTCAAATCGGGAAGGGGTGACTTGATATGGAAAGTGGCCTGGGGTCAATATTGGTGACAAATTACCGAGGGTGGTAAAGAATTGTGTACCTTGCATTAACACATATTCTTAACTTATAGAAAACGTGTTATTTTTATATCTTTTTATATTTTATATATTCTTATGTTAAGAAGAGTGTATTTTTTAAAAGAATCGTAACCATGCTTAAAACATACACCGAAGATTGATCTTGGTAACCGAATCACCTTTGTTTAGATTGGTCCATCTTTTCCCTTAGTTCATAGCGCGAGAAGCGAAACAAAGGAAAGTAACATTATTGCGCGAAAACTGAGGCGAGACGCACGCGCATCGTCCCCAGATTTCGCGCGGCTATTTCTCTACTTTACCATTACCTCTAAAAGGGAGTTAGAGTTACATAGCTGTGGTAAATTACACCCGTACATTGAGCAGAACTCAATGTTCGCCAATCAGATAAACGTGCAATATGATTTGTAAATGAATTGAAAGATTTTTAATAAAAATATTTTTTGTTGAATAGATTGGTCAGTTAATGCTAAAACAATTTTGACGGCTCGCTCTCTGCTTCTACAGACTTTGATAATTAGTTAGAGCCTGGTACATCGTATATTAGCAGTCGGTGGAAGCCTCGAGCTTATCAGTCTATTAGGCCATATTCGCATTCTCGGTACTGGACTGGAACTAGCTTGCAATGGAGGCTCTTGCGAAGAAACATCATTAAAAAGAGATTAATGCATTTGCATTTGAAAAGACTCCCCGCATTAACCTCAGTTGAAAGCTAGTTCCAGTCCAAACTCTAGAATACGAATATGGACAATTGTTGCTGGTATGATTTTGGAGACTTAAGATTCAAATAGGACTAACATCTCATTTTTCGTAAGAATCAAGTTATTTGTTTCTTAGGAATCTATCTGTTATGAAGGACAGGCACCTGACATCTTTGAAAAAAAAAGCTGATGTTTTTATAGTTTTTATGAAGGACGCAGTGAGATAATGGTTAGCGCGCTGGTTTCCGGATCAAGCTCAATTAAGCGGTCCGGGTTCAAGCCCTGGCCGATGTCATTGCGTATTTCTGAGCAAGACAATTTACTCTAGATCTCCCAGTGCCTCTCTCCACCCATATGCACAACTGGGTACCGGCGAAGTAGTTTGCTCTTAGTGAAATTAATTAAGGTACAGGTATTTTTAAGATCAAAAGACGTTTATTCTTAAACTCTTAACTTTACAGCTGTATACTAGAGTATAGGCATCTTTGGGTCATCTCTCTGACCGTCGTATAAATGTAAAAAAAATGTTGCACACAGTGCATACATAACCTGATTCTCAGACGCTTCAGTTCGCTGGCGGCCACGCACTCTCTCTCCCTTTCCCAAGAGAAGTGAAGAGAGTGCGAGAGACAGAGAGAGAGTGCGTGGCCGTGAGCGATCTGGACTGTCTGAGAATCAGGTTAGTGCATTCAAGGCATGCTCTGAGCGCTGTGATAGGTTACTTAGAATACATTATTTATGTACAAGCAGTATATAAGCTAGAGATAGTAGTGAAAATGATAAAACGTACTCTTACAGGTACAAGCGCCTACTGAGGTTGTAACAATTTCAATGCATCGTTTGAAACAAATTTTGAGTCGTTACTGTCTCCAAGAGACTATGATCATGGACTCTTACTGTCACTCGTGATTATAACATTTCAGATAGATAAAATTATATATCAAATGGATAAAATTATATATCGTAATTTGCCACTCTCCCACTGGACGTTTCAGGGCCAATGGAAACAAACAGTGAGACAAATATTACAAATGAACATAACATGGTTAAAAATCCCAGCTGGCAGGAGGCATAAACCAGTTGCCTATTTACATGCGGGGCCAAGGAGTTGAACAAGGAGTATAACGACTAACTCCAGCTTCGTGGTCAAAGGCGGACTTGAACCCGAGACCTCTGGATTTCAAGTCCGGCGCCCTAACCACTCGGCCACGCTGACTCCTGCAACTGTAACACGACATCGTTAAAAATCCCAACAAACAGAAGGCACACAAGGCAGTTGGCTATTTACAAAGCGTTACCGAGGAGTTGAACGCGGGAACACCGAAAACAAACTGAACAAGACATAATGTCATCATTAGCCATAAATATTTGTGTACCCTGTAACTGTATTGTAACCTGACACCGGCTGATTGAATCTGCCGCCTGCTGGGGAATGCCAGGGCTTACTCGAGAAAAGATAACTCGTACAAGAACTGATCAAAAGGAATAATTTTTGCACTTTACAAAAGAAGACAAATAGCTTGCTGGGATAAGCATAGAGATTTTTGAAAAGTTAAAAACACGTGAAATGATGACCAGTTAAATCTGATACAGAAAATCTAGCATACGTTTCAATACATAACTTCGACAGAATGCACTGGATGGAAAAGTTCTATGCTTATCCTACAGAACGTACTCAGAACAACAAATCCTGAAAATTTTAGCTCAATTGAATAAATCCTTCTCAAGATATCTTTTCTCGAAGGCGAAAATAACTCGTTTTCAGAAAACGAGCCTTAAACTTACAGTAACAGTACTTGTCAAAATAAAACTTCAATACCTTAAGATTCGAGTTCCGTGAAAAACAAAACTTCGAATTTCTTTCAGAATTTTAGGTCAAGTCCCGCCTTAAAGGAGCTATGTCATGGTTTGCGCATCTTGAAAAGTTTAGCATAAATTTTTCAATTCGTCGTTTGTAATCCGTGTCAATCTTCTCCATCCTAGACCATCCCTGTTCCTTTATGGTTCAATATTATCTCTTTGGTGTTTTGCTATCTTAGTAAACTATTATTTTCAGGTTTCCTTTAATTTAAAGGTAGTTTTATGGTGGCCAAAGTAACTTAAGATACCGTGACTGAGCTCCTTTAAACAGTCATCTAGTCTCAGTTTTAGTCCAATCCCAGCATAGCCTACAAAACATGGCGTATCTTATCCACCAGAGCTGCACATTGGTCTTGCCATTTGAATCTCTGATCATAGCGTGACCGCAATTCCCTGGCTTCTTCCAGTCGGATCGCCCTTGGTTTCTTTCTGACGCGCCTGATAGCTTCACCCCATTCCTCGTGTTCGTCGGAGTACACCACAGAAGACGCTCCAAACGCGATCCCAGCTAAAGCTTTTCCAAGCCCTGAGTTATCACTTACAAGGATTGGAAGGCCGGCGGAAAGAGCTTCGAGCGCAGCGAGGCCAAATCCCTCCGTCCTGGATGGCATGATGGCGAGATCTGCCTCACAGAATAGTTGCCCCAGCATCTCTCGGCTTTCACGAAATCCGCGGACTCTTAGCTGGGACCGGGAAATACCACATTCGAGTAAGTTGTCTGTCACTTTTTCTTCCTCTCCTTCTGGCGCGCCGACAAACACAAGCTGGTAACTCTTGTCTTTCAAACCAGCCACGGCTTTAGCAGCAATGTCGTAGCCCTTTAGCTCAAAATCTTCATAGTCACCACGACCAAATACCAACGTATAAAACGATTCTCTTTCCTCGCTGGCTTGCGGTAGCTCACTAAATTCGCTGAAAATACCAGGCGTAAGGTTTAACACGCCTTGATCTTTACTGTAAGGACGAAGACTGAATTTGATATTTTCAGTGAGTTTTGGTCCAATGCCTACAACGACATCAGCCGTTCTGCTCAGTTCTACTTCTTCTTGGTGCTTGCGATCGCCTTCAGCTATCGCTTGGGCTTTGTTTTTATACATTGCGATTTGTTCACTGGCTGTATGCACAATGTGAACTCGTTTGTATCTCTTTTGTATTGCTAGGACGCTTGCGTGTGGTCCTAGCTTCCTTCCGTGGCCTATGACGACGTCAATAGCGAGATCAGCAGGCGGATAGGCTAACATGGCGACGGAATCATACCCAGGTACCACTGAATCTGGTGCAGCAAGATGTACGTTGTGTTCTAAAGCTGCTTGCTTCTCCTTTTCGTCGTATCTTGGTACTACGAGGGTCACTACCACGTTTGGTTGCTGAGCCAGCCCTTTGCAAAGTTCCCTGTTCAGTGTAGATATACCTCCTTTTGATGAACCCCATTCGTCTGCCAAAGGAGATATCTTCAAAGTCTATTTCAAAGAATAAGAGAGTTTGTTTCATCCCTGTTTAGGTTTTGCCGGAAAGAAAAGAGAACAAAACAACTACGCATCTATCATTAAAATATTTACCTCACGTTTTTCATTCATGACGAATAAGTTTTTCGCGATTCGCTGCACTGGTCTTTGCTGAATCTCTTAATCACTCCTGTAAAATACAAATTAAGTAAACCCCTTTTCTACACAAAGTATAAAAGGACTGCTACTCAGTTTTAAGTATGACCGGGTGCCCGATAGGTTTAATTGACAATTAGATTATATCTCGAGATTTCTATGGAGTGATAGTTGACTGACGAGGGTACCGGTGCAGCCCGAGTCAACTATCACGCATAGAAATCGAGAGCGAATAGTCTAATTGTTTTAAAATAAATCTACTGGTCGTTCAAAACTTTATCTAAATCCTCTTCACGGACACTTAGAAAACGCAAAGAAGCGGCCACCAATAATTTTGTTAACAAGCGCATACTCCTGGGCGATGTACTATCTACAACAGAATAGATAGTGAGTAGCGTAGCCAATAAGAGAACATCCGTGATTGAAAGAAAAATTAGGAAACAATCAGTCAGGCAGCAGGACACCGTGCGAAGAGTGCACTTGACTTTGGAGCAGGAACGAAATTGCCGAAGAATTAAGCTAAGTAATGACTCGCGGTTTTACACCAAGAGCTCCAATTAGGTAGGTTGCAGCCTCTTTGCACGCGGTTTCAAGTTCGCCGAGTGCTACTAAAACTGAAAAAAAACTACAACTTGTATCAAACCCTCTACGATCCTACTGGAACTCAAATTTTATAATATGGTTGAAAATAATCACTTTGGGCCAAAGAAGTTACTGAATGGATCGATGAAGGCCCTAGGAAATTATTAGAATACGCTGGTTTAGATCAACAAACTGAGGCGAAGAGTTACATTATTTAAATAAAAGATGCCCAAAAATACCTCCATGTACGTTTATTTAGTCTGCATGCCCAATCGTCAGTGCAGGCACAAAGCACACGTCAAACAAACCGCAAACATTAGCTCAGTGAGCCATGCATTTTGACCTCGTCTGTCTGAATGGTCTGTTTTGCATATAAATAAACGCTACATCTGGACCCGTTTGTAGCAATATAAGTACTTCTTCAAAATGAAATTCTTTCCTTCTAGGACTGAATATCTCTGCTGTTGCTCACTAACCGAAAATTTGATTTGTTAACTGGCACGATTCATTTCTTTCACCCGGGCTTTATTTAATGAATCATTTAAGCTATGTATCAGTTACGCTATTCAGCATAACATAGGAAATGATATTTATATCTATGACCAACTTGAAAACGCATAGATTTTAGAAAGAGGCAAAATTAAGATATTATATTCCTGACTCTCCAGAAAGTGGAAGCGAGAGAATGTTCAACTGGCGAGATGTGTGCAACGAAAGTTTCCAAAACGTCCACCCCGAAATCCAAATTTTGCTTTTTGTGGAACGGTATTTTACGCATTATTAGAACTTCAACCATTGTTGGGAACACACTAATCGCTCATGGAAAGTCAACGCTCGACGGATTCTTTTGATTTTGAGCCAAAATGTTCTTTGTTGAAAATGAAGTGATGATATGTTCCGATCATTATGAAATTTAGCAGTACCAAGAAATGGAATGGAGTTGAATACTACTGAAGCTCCCTTCAGTTTAACCAAGTGAGCATAATCAATGACCTCCAAACAACACTTCCGGCTTTCGTAGAAAAGTGTAAACGTCAAGCTCAAAAGAAATACCAAACTTTGTTTGCCAGCACTGTAAAGAGGATGATAACTTCAAGAACATGCAATGCCGTGCTGTAGGTAGTGTTGCCTTAACGGGCGATGTCAGCCAGATATCTAAATGCCTCATGATTACTCACTGAAGCAGGCTGCAGCTGCCGGAATGTCGCGATTGTGACCGAAGTTCGAAGTATTGAATTCCCTCAGTAGTTGTTATCGTTTTAAGCTGAATACGTTATATTAAGTAGAGAAATTTCTATTTGCCGCGTACCTACAGCTATTTAAGCGACTCAGCCCCTTGGAACAAGTAATGTTCGTTCTGAGACTATTCTCGCCCTCAGTTTGTCCACAGTTCGGGTTTGATCAAAACAGTGTCGATCCGTCTTCATGAATGAACTCTCTTCTTACAATGTCTTCTTATTCAGAACTTAAAATGATTAAACTCACTTTTGAGCTCCCTAGCAACCTCTTGTCCACTTCTCGTTGTCAATCGTCCCGAGACTTGGAAAGAACTTAGAAATAAATGATTGTTGTCTCCAGTACTCTGTTTATTCTACGACTCAAGTGAGATTTACTCCACTGAAGTGTAGAACGCTGAGTCATTTTCCGTCTAGACGAGGACACGTGACGAAAAAACACGTTCTAATTGGGTTCAAACATGGTACCGTATGTTTCGCCGCTGACCAGTTGAAGTTTGAAGGGTGTTGAATACGCTTCACTTACGATTCATGTAAGCACGCCTCCAACACCACATTTCTCAAATCCTTAGACAGAGGAACGACTGGTTTGAGGTTGCGCTCGTATTTACTAATCGAAAACATATCAATAACTTCGAGTGGGGACTTAAGTAGGTCATGTTTGCACCCAAGTAGAAAAGGTTTCTTTGCACCATGCGTCCACGCTTGAACGACGGGCAAGATAAATGTTATGAGGTCAATTACTGCGCCTTTCAATATCATGCGGACTCTAAACTTCAAAGCTCAACCGACAAATGCGTTTTTCGCTACCGTCAATCAAATGTTCGGTGGCTCCTCCCGGCTTCCGACTACTGCCGAGCGCGCGGTAATCAAATCAAATCGTTGAGCACAGTTCAGATAACACAGACGAAAGCTGGGAGGAGCCGCCGAACATTTGATTGACGGTAGCAAAAAACGCATTTGTCGGTTGAGCTTTGAATTTTAGAGTCCGCATGTTATTGAAAGGCGCAGTAAACCATAGTTTTGCCTATTAAGTAATTATACGTAAGGTTTGTTGGATTTCTTTGACAGTTTCAACTGGCCAGGGGCGGATTTAGGGGGTGGGGGTGGGGGTGTGGGCTGGAATGGGTGTTTAACCACCCCCATTTTGGAAAAGCAAAGCATAAGAAATTAGGAAAATGTTGTGAATATTATAACAAAAATAATGGCAAACTCTCTTTGTCAGGTACCTCATTGTAATTTCCACTTTGTGGCATTACTAGTATTTCTAGTGAAACGGTTTTGAATTAGGTTCCAATTCTGGGAGCATGCCATTGATTTTGCAGCCGCAAGGTACCAGCTACCTCACCCCTCCCCCCCTCCCCCCTTGGAAAATCCTCAATTCGCCCCTGCCGGCGGAAAGTAACGCAAACAGAACAGTATTGAAAACAAGATCCGAATCGATTGTGTGTCCAAGAAACAAACTAACTGAAAACTGAAAAGTGAATAATGGTGGTGAATTTTAAGCTCGGCAAGGAAATGTGAAAGGTGCTTTGATCAATATGACACGAACGTGGGACAAAGAAAAAATCTGAGTCCCCTAACTGAACAGGAATCGAACCCATGACCTCCCGAACAACTGTAAACTGATAAGACGAGATGATGATGTAATGATATCGTGAACGGAGAAGTTACAGTTTGAGAATGGAAATAAGCGATTGATTCTCCTTTCTTTTTCTCGGAGTGTTTCTTACAAGAAATGGTAAACTTTTTGTCTGTGTTGCAATCGAGTTATAGCTAGAAACAAGAGTGCAGGTTTGCGGGGGTGAGGAGTGCGCTCCTCACCTCCAGGATTTCGCGCGGCCATTTTTTTCTCGCGGTTTTCTTTCGCGTCACGCACGACGGACTAAGCGAAAGAAGGACTACTCGTAGTATAACAATAAGCAAGAGACTATGATGTAGATCACAGTCTCTGGGAATAAAGTATTTCATTTTTTTATCTTCAACTGAATGACCAAAGCGGAAGCGAAGAAAATAAAAATGTTTTGGATCAGGTAATTGTCACAAGCCAGTCTGCGATGTGCTACTCACTGATCAACTTAGCTGGGACTCTTGCCTCCGTCCCCACCCCACCCCCTTCAGCCTTTACGTATAGGTCAAAAACGATAAAAGGAGAAACTAAGAGTATAATCGACATCTCATTTATTTTTCAATATATTTTCAAGCAATAAATATGTACAATATTTATAATCATTTCTATATATATATATCTCAAATTCTTCATTTATGTACAGAAGGATTCATTTTTATCTTCATTTTGGGGGGGGGGAGGGGTAACACGCAATCTCTTCTCGTTGGAGACTAAAGATGGCTTGACAAGCCAAGGTAACGCCTGCTCAAGAGGCAACATTCGATACAAATGCGACAAATTACCTTTGGTTAGGACTTTTTTTTTCAAATACTGACCATTGGCCAATTACTACTTCTATTGAAGCAGTGCAACAGGTCGTTTGACGGGACTGAAAGAAAAACTTCGATCGCCTGATCGATGTGAACAAGTCGATCGCGTGGTAACAGACAAACGGGCCCAGTGACATCTTTTCAAGAAGCCGCATCTGTGAATATCACAGGCTCAATTCTTGCAGACAGGAAACCAGCCGACTGCTTGCAATGATTTCAAGGAAATTACTGTGGAGCCCTGATATAACGGAGAGAAACCTGGAAAATGTGTTTGTTACAACAGGGGTTCATCATACCAGGATTTTGTTCCATACATTTTCCTGTAACTTTGACCAAGCTGAAGAATATCGTAAGTTATACGGGGAAAAGATGTTAGTTTCTAAAGAAACTGCTGGGCTGCATTGGCGCCAGGAAACTGAAACACTTAGCTATTTAACGACTTGAAGCTGCTGACAACGGTAAATTATTATTGTGAAGTAGTCAGAGCAATGTGTTAACACTCGACACGTCACGTTTCTCAAACTCGCTAGGACGGCCCATTTGCCTTTATCAGCTTCAAGTTGATAAATAGCTACGCGTATAATGTTCTATCATGGTTCCACTGTACAACGTCGGACATATAGGAACAGAAGAGGAGAGTAGTAAGAGGAGACGATTTAGCGTTTAACCAATCAGACTGCAGGATTTCGATCACGTTACCCACGACTCCTCTTACTACGAGGAAGACCTCTTGGTAAAGATAAAGCAAAAAAAGATATAAAGGTTTGTTCTGTATGTACGTGGTTTAGGACTGAAAAAAATTCATAAATATATCTAAAAAACAAATACATCATTAAATATCTTAAAATCTTCAGCTGGTTCTTGAGTTCCACGTACATAATTCGTCCATTATCTGGCTCATCTCAGGAGGTACTTTCTGTCAGGGCTTTTGTCACGCATCTCCCTGAGTCCTGGGTAAAGAGCTCCATCATTACCCGGCCCCTTCTCATAAGTGCCCTTGTGTCAGCTGGGACGCTTTGTAATATTTGGCCATCCTCGCTGTTAGAGTTTGCTGTGAGGTAAGGTCTGGGGTCCTATGTATAACATCCCTATGCCTACGAATTTGAAGACGAAACCCTTTAGTTCGCTTTTACGAATATCACAAGAAAAAATTAAAAGGAAAGACCCCGGCTCTTTAAAAAACTCTTTGATACGTGATTCTATAGAGGGCATTAAAATTAATGCCTACAGAATTTTAGTCTCATTCCGTGTGTAGTTGAAATTGTGGCATGCGCAGCAGTAGCAGTAGGCTAATGGTTTAAGTGTTGGGTCAGGAACGAGAGGGCCTGGTTCGACTAACCTTGCGGAAAATGATAACCTGTGATATACTATCACTCCTTTCAGGAAGTTGTAGGAGGGGGGGGGNGGCGGGGTAGAAATACTCTTGGCCGCATTAGACTACCGTAACTGGAGCTAAACAACGACTCCTCGAGTCGGCTTTAAACTCCAAAACGTAAATTCTTTTGAATCACCATCAATTATAAGCATTGTCATCATTGAACACGGGTCTAAGTAAAGGTTTCGTTACTGACCTCATGTCCGATTCCTGAGGTGTCGTCCCTTGAGTCACAACCGAGGCAGCGCCTGCAGCTTTAGCGTCAGCGGCAAACTGATACACAATCAGTAAACAATCACGACACAGCTGGACGATCCGACGACAGCAGCTCATCTCTGTCTGCAAACCATCGAACAAAACAAATCAATACATAGTCGGAAAATAAGCACGATGTTCGGTCAAAATCAGACACGGTTCGTAGATGCCAACATTGACGTTGTTAAGCGACATAACGCAATCTTTATAGTGCCTGTAACGATCTGCCAACCATCTTTAGGACTGTAAGACTGCTCTAAAAGTGTTCAATTCTTACAAAAAACTGACCTAATCATTTAGAAGGCTTTATATAAAAGATTTTCGCTCTTTACTTAGGCTCTCTTTGACATTTCCATTCTATTACTTTGTTTTTTGGATTTCAAAAATTGTCCTCCTGATGCGATATATAATTCAATCACTCGATGTCTTTCTGTGCCAGTTAATGGCCGCTTTTGGCACTGATTCGTTCCCAGTCGTCTCTCATAAGACAAATCGCAAGGCAGAGGAGCCATGAGCTGGTGGGAACTGGGGACGAGTCAACGTTTGAGATCCAACCCAAGACACTGACGACTTTCTTCGGTCTTGTAACTCAGAAGATAAAAGACAAGTATTCAACACCTAATTTCTCCTTACAAGATCAATACAATCTCAAGCAGACAGGTGACGAGAATATGGAACATCATCAGCAAGGGGATATTGTCTTGATGTACAAACGAATTCTCATAACTAACTTTAAAAGAAATGTATGGGAATCAGTGAGGAGAGTAAATGCATACAAACGTTGACAATTTACGCATAGTTTTATTACCATAGATATAACCTCCGTGCTCTTGCTGAATATTGTCTCCCACGAATTTCTACGAAATGAAAACAAAACAAAATGAGTTAAATAAATTACAATATTTAGAGAGGAAGACCCGTAAGCCTTAACTAGTTTTCAAGCGGGTCCTCTATCCTGGTCGAATTGGAATTTGGAAATATTGGTTAATGTAGAGGGACGAAAACAAGAGAACCCGGAGAAAGACCCTCTGAGCAGGCGATAACCAACAGCAAACTCAACCCACATATGACACCGGGCCGGAATCGAACCTGCGCCACATTGGTGGGTTACCACAATTGTTACTAATCTCGCAATCTGATTGGCTAATTTGCCGTTGTCGATAAGAGTCCAGACAACGCTGCTCGCGTCAATTTGCCACGCTCTTGGTCACGCTCTGAACAAAGCATTTTCTTTGACGTTGATATTGTGGTAAACAACAAATCGAATGTGGTTTAGCGTTGTCTGTACTCTTATCGACAACGATATGCGTCATCACAGTGGTCAAAATTTGTTGTGGACTAACTCGGCTGCGCCATTTTGACCACTGTGATGACGAATATCGTTCTCGATAAGAGTACAGACAACATAAAACCACATTCGATTTGTTAAGTTACCGTGTTTAGCATTGCGGCGAAGAAATCACCTTTTAGAACTCAGTCAGAAAAGTTGGCTATTAATTAGCGAATTAATTAATTGGCGAAAAGCTGGCTATTAATTGTTTTGAGTATACATAACTCTCAGGGTTACGTACCCCAAGTTTGAAAAGCAATTCCATAATCCCTGTCCATGACTCCATAACAATCTGTTAAACACTCTCGAGAAAACCCGGCAAAGACGCAAGTTATCTACTTCAGATGCTCGCCACACGCGCTGTAAAATGGCACGAACGTTTGTTCGCACGATATCCACAACCTGCAAGAGAAAATAGTACAATCTCAAACAATGCGTTCTTTCTATTATGTGAAGTTTGTTAAAAGCGTCACTGGATATAACAACAGCCAAAAGGTTGACATGCTCTGGTATTTAATATAGCAATTTTTTGAAGACACGATTGATCATCGCAGTTATACACACAACCTTAAGCAGTTGTGAAATTAAATCCTGAAGAAAAATTCAGACTTGAACGGGATTCGAACCAATGATCTCTGCGATACCGATGCAGTGCTTTAATTTCACAACTGCTTAAGTTGTGTGAATAACTGCGATGATCAATCATGTCTTCATATCTTTCCCGGCAGTTCAAATAAATGATATTTCATGTATTCACTTATTTAGCAATTTTTCTTGTACAATTCTGTCTAAAGGGGAAAGGCGTGATGCGCTTAACCTTATGTGAATCACCAATCCGTGAGACAAGGTCAGACCACAACACCGGGAACTCCGTGCCCCACTGGCTTTGCGATAAGTGCGTGGGTTCATTAACGTCCCCTGCTAACCATTATGTATTTCCCACACATAACCCTGTATTGGAGGATTGAGCAAGCCTGTGATTTTCGCCAGACAATGCTTGGTAACATGACGTAATTCTGTGACGCAATGCGGACGTCAGAACTTTCAGCGCATATGCGAATACGCGCGTTGATTTTTTTATAGGCTAAAACACTCCTCGAACGCTTCAGTTACAAATAAACAGCGTTGCGCTCAATGGAGACAGCACGTTTCACAAGAATTATCCCAGACAGCAACAAAGCTTTGCTGTTGGGTGTTAATCAAAAGCTATAATAAAGCAAAGCGACAGTTTTTCTTGCCTTTCTCCGCTTTATCGAGTCAAGCTTCACCAACCAATATGAAGCCACTCTTGGCTTATGAAACTTCCAGTTATCTTGAATCTGAAAGAAACAGGAAAAAACAACGCTGAGCAACAATTCTGCATTTTATAAGCCCTCTTCGAGAATAAACTTGTCCCGCGATTTTCCCACACTCGAAAAAGAAAAAAATATAATATCCAGCAAAATGTCCAACACTTACGCTTTCTAAAATGACTTCTGCTTCTTCGTCTGTTTTCCCAGGAAATTTTATCCTCATGTCAAGCAAAGCTTGTAGTGTTCGCCGACTAAGTTCTTCTTCTCTCTCTCGCACGGCAGCGTCCAAGAAAGCCGCGTCCTTAGGNGGGTTTGAAGAAACGGAAGAAGACGAAGATGAAGAATCCACTTTGCTAGGGGTGGATTTTGCGCTTGGCATAGATGACAAGGGCTAGAAAATAAACAAGGAAAATCAAAAACAGATTAGCCTTTTATACCAACAAGCGACAAACAAGTTAATTGAGCAGATAGGTCAGAAAAACAAAGAGTTGGGTAAATTCTCTTAAGGGTTACTACGACAAAATATAGCCGATCAGTACGGAAAACTTGTATTTTGACACGAGAGCTGAAGAGAGAAATTGCCCCTATATACAAATGTTAAGTTATTTTCTTAAACTGTAAAGTAACCGCACCTTTTCGACAGTTCGCGGTTACGAAGGAACCAAAAGTGACATTCTGAATCGTCAATGAAAATGGTGTTTTTCAAATCCGGGTATCCAGTTTGTATCACTCTGTCTGAATTGGCGGGGGTTTTGAGGGTTTTAATATCCCTCAAAAGTATATTAGAGATGTATTGCGTATTGTGGATTGTGTAGCCTGCGTGCTCTGTGTCATCTGTGTTTGCCTAAACTTCAATCTACTAACAACAGATTTGTAAAACTGGGTCGGGGTTGTTCAAAGCCCGATCAAGCTAACCCAAGATTAGCGAGAATTTTGATTTCAATTTTGTGTCTTTTCGGTAACGTTGTCAGTATATATTGTTAGTCCTTCTGTTTTGACTTTGAATCATTTCAATCTACCCAAAACATATGCAGTAAAAACACTTCAGTTTTACACAAGAAAAATTAACACTTCGGTTAACATTTAATCCTGGGTTAGTGTTAACCAGCTTTCGAACTGCCCGGCCCTGAATGCCTGCCTTCTTTCACTCTGCCTCTGTAGTATTTTTTTCCTTCTCACATCTGATATATAAAACAGTTTTCTTACCTTAGGTCCTTTACTCATTGGCCGGTTTCCAGATCTGTCAAACGTGATATTCTCATCAGCTTCACATTGCTCTAATAAGTCGAGGATTTCTTCTTCCTGTAAGAAAACAAAATTGACAAATGTTCATCGGCAAGTGTATCGAAACATTTAATAGTTACAACGCTTTGCAAAGCAACATAAATATTGAGGGGTACAAAAGAGTGATAATCATGATAAACCAAGGCCCCGTGCACACCACCCCGGAGAAATTTGAAAACGCAGCTTGATTTCTACGTTTAGGC